TTTATTTTTATTACTTTATTCTTTATTTTTATTATTTTAATTATTTAAATATTATTTTGACAATTGACCATAGACTCACGCATTTCGTATGCATTTCGTATTAACTAAATATGTTTCATAAATTACCTAAATATGCATCATAAATTAACTAAATACACATCATAAATTACCTATATAAAATGTACATTTTATTGCATATTTTTGTTGCATATTTAGTTCATTCATGATGCATATTTAGTTCATAACAGATGCATATTTAGTTAATAACATAAAACTATTGCTGCATATTAGTTCATAATGACTGCATGTGTAATTCATACCGCATGCATATTTAGTTCATATGAAATACACGGTACTGGATACATATTTACTCCATACATACTGCATACCAGGGGCAACAGGTCAACGCGGAAGTCAACGATCAACGCGGAAGTCAACGATCAACGCTGGAAGTCAACGGTCAACGACGAGAGTCAACGATTTTCGCCGGAAGTCAACGATCAACGTCGGAGTCAACTAATAATTATTTTATTATTTAATGAATATATATTTTAATTGCTTTTGATCTAGACAAAATGAGTGGCTAAGATTGAGTCTCACATGCTCATTTTAAGGAGTGGTCTCATTAGATCTACCCATATATATATATATATATATGAACAACTAAAATCAAATTCCCCTTTTTCCACTAATTGAGAATTTTCTTTTGGTAAAATCACATTAACCACTCCCTTGCTCCCTCAAAAAACAAACACATGCAGCACAAAACATTTTATTATTATTTTTTTTCCTGTGAGAACAAGAATATCAGGGCTTTTGCCTTTTTCCAAATTGAACATCCAACAAAACCAAATTGTGAGGAGGCACATTTAAAAAAAAACACATGTTTTTTTTTAAAAACAATAGAGGTATTATATAAATAAAATCGCACAAAGTGCGAAAAGAAATCAGCCAAAAGTTGAAGAGTACAACCAAAGGCTTAATAGAGTGGGAGGCAGATTCGAAAACCGCTTAGAGTCTGCTAGCAACGCTAGAATAGCAAACTCGCAACTATACTAAAACAACTAACACAAATAAAGACTAAGACAACTAAACATGATCCCAACAGGATAATGCTCGAGTGTACGATCCCAAAAGGATAATAAGTTCACACTTGGGCTCACAGAGGCCAAATGGCCCAAACCTAACAAAACAAGCACGAACACAAAGAGAACAACCTAAAAGAAGAGGACCTAATCTAACAACAAACAAACAAAACTCTTCCCCAGCGAGATAACTAAACCTAGCACAAGGCACCAGCGAAATAAAGACTACGCACCCCCCATCTTGACCTGAAAGCCGAAACTCCACTCCCACCACGGACTAATGCCTAGCAAAGGACGAGCCCCGAGCCTCGAACCACTCCAAGGATGAAGTCGACCCCTAGCCGGAGGAGAATCGATCAGCCCACCCACACATCAGCTTCCCGATACCCGGCCAACACCACTAGCTTAAATCCGAGCTAACCGGACGTCCAACTCCACAACACCAACAGAATGGACACAGGGGCCCAAATCGACCCACCTCAGCCTGGTCGACTCGACTCAGACGAGCCGAGCAACCAGGATCGCATCCAACCCCAACCAAGCTCCATCTCGCAGCAACCCACCTCCAAACAGACGCATAGCAGCCAAGCTCACCTCCACCAGAAACCAAGCATAGGTCAAGCCAACCAACGGACAACCACCATCGACGCGAAAGAGAGGCGACAAGTCTGACCGACGGCTTGGGAGATCCACCATCGGCGCAGAGGCTCAGTGGAACATGAAATTGGGGCGAGATTACGCGGCTACATGCCATCGGCCAGCGAAGGGATCAGCCAACCGCCGGGGAAGGCACGATTCACGCTGTCGAAGAGCTCGGACGAGAGGAGAGAATGGGGTTAGGGTTTGCAAGAGGGGAGAGGGCTATAATTCAACACATATGTTTCTAAAATGCTAGAAAAGACCTATATCTAAAATGATATATTCATACAAAGCCCTAATTCATAAAGAACCCTAATTCAAAAAGATATCAAAATAAAAAAATGATGAACCCTAGACATGTAAAGAGCCCTAATTTATCAATAAAATTTGTAATTGGTGAAATATAAGTCAAATTTGAAGTTCATTAGCATCAACAAAATCTCAAATTTTGAAAAAATTTAAATTCAAGAAAAAAAAATCAAAATTTTGAAAAAAAGCCCCAAAAATTAGAATTCTAAAAGGCTTGCCTTGTTTAAGTTTTTTGAGTAGAGAAAGATGGTTTGTCGGATGTGGATTTTTTTCGAGCCCGCCAATGTATCTTGATGGCCGGAGACGAAGGGGAAAGCTTCCTGGAGAGAGAGAGAGAGAGAGAGAGGGAGAGAGAGAGAGAGAGAGAGAGAGAGAGAGAGAGAGAGAGAAACGACGAATTGATCAGAGAGAGACGAACAACAACGAAAAGAGAGAAAGAGGGAGAGAGAGAGAGAGAGACGATGGAATTCAAACAGAGCGAGATGAACAGCGAGGAAAAAAAAAAGAGAAGAAGGCGAGCGACAATCGAAACTTCAGAGAAAGAGAGAGAGAGAGACTGGAACAAGAGAGAAAGAGCTGAATTTTTTCAATTTTTATGGTTTTCAAACAAACATAAATGAATATCAATAATATTAGTATATATATGAGGAGTAAATAGGAAAGAGAAGATTGTAGGAGGGAGTGCAGAGGAAAAAAAATGAACTAGAGAGTGACATGAAAGTTGTAAAAGTGATTAGAGATTTATTAAGAATTAACCGTTATCGATAATTATATTAAAAGAATAACCATTTTAGAAGTTTCCCGCCAATTTTATCTACATTACCCGCCAATTATCTAGATAAATTCACCCGCCAATTTCATTAGAAGTGTCCTAAAAAATAGTAATTAAGTGTCCAACAATTTTGAATAAGGAAACAAATCGACTGATTTTTAGGGTAGAAATTTGTTATTCTCTTTTTTTTTGGTATCTTTTCTGCCTTTAAAATCGTTTCCAATTCCAATAAAGTTTATCCCTAACATAAATCTAGACGAGTTTTTAAAAAATCTCATCTCCTATCTCGCAATTTAAAATATCTCATCCCTTATCTACATATTTAAAAAAATTTAAAAAATCACATCACTTATCTATACAGATTTAAAAAAAATTCTCTTACTAATATTTTTGCAAATATTATAAACTAGCAATACATCATTGATAACAACATAAAAAGTATAATAATAATTTTGAAATTATGTGTAATCAAATTTTGTTAGATGAAAATAACGCCATAAATTCGGTATCATCTGAATGTCTTTATTAAATTAGGCTTATAATATTTTAGATACTTTAAACAAATTGGTTAGATATTTTTTTTACATATTTGTCTATATATACATATATATACACACACGTATACCTAAGTGATATTAAATTTAAATATATGTAGACATGTTTTCTTTACAAAATAGTCTAGAAAATTCTTTTTTTGCACAATATTAAATTCAAATGTTTTTAGATATGTTTTCTTTCTAAAATTGTTTAGAAAAGTTGTAGGTGACTTCACATCTTTCAAAAATAATATAAAATTTTTTGAATACTTTTCCATATACTAATATAATATTTTAGGTATTCTAATGTTAAACATCCAAATTTTATATTCTCTTATACAAAATAATGTAAATTTTATATTCTTTTATACAAAATAATTTTATATTGTTTGAACCCGAATCTTCAATTTATAATTATTAAGTATTGTTTATCCTCCTCTTTAATTTATAATTATTTTTTCTCCTCTTTTTAAATAGGACCAATAGTAGTTTCCACTTTCGCCAT